CAGAACGACATAAATATAGTTATGTTGATCTTGATTTACTAGTTTTCACTTGTGTATTTAAATTCAGTGTACAATGAGAGCAACTGGCAACTTGACAACTAATGTTCACCGGTATTTTCAAACTTGGTGTCAAACGGGTTGTTTGAAAAATCAAGACCGTTCAAATTATGAAGATATAAAAAACCGTATAGTTTTCTGTAATACTTTTCAAAGATTTTGCTAAAATAAAGAACACGTTCTATTGAAATATATGATAAAGAATAAAAAAAAACCACCTTGCTCACATATGTCCGTCAAGAAATAACAGATCTGTTTGACTTACACATATGATGCAGTCTAAATGCCAGTAACAGTTGGTTTTATATTGGGTATTTTTCATTGCAGTCGAGGATTTGGTAACAAAGAAATACAATGAAGTTTTGAATCAAGAAATTGAAAAAGGCATTGGTTCCACTAAAATTTTAGAGTAAGTTTTTCATTAAAATTTATCATTATTGTCTTATAATAAAATATGATAGAAATTGAAATAAAATCAAAATGGATGGTATAAGTGGTATCTACATTTTACGAACAAGAGAGAGGCACACGTGGATAAAATGGGGTTCAAGGAGTAAATAAATGATGATACACAGAAACACTAAGTCTGGCAAGAAGTAAAAATTTAAAAGAAAAAATAGCTTACATTCACTTCATCAAGTTGATCGTTTGTGGATAGTTGTCTCATTGGCAATCATACCACATCTCCTTATTTTTATATAGAAACATAAAGAATGATCAAAAGTCAACTTAGTTCAAATTATTGATATATTTGAACTGGTATACCAATACACATGAAAGTGTTTGCTTGAAAACGTATATTACACACACGTCTGTTTATTTTTATAGACTGCCTCACAAGATGCAAGAGTTTTTGAAAAAAGTAGGAGAGCATCAACTCCCGTTGGTACAAAGTCAAATAAAAGAAGAAGTGAAAGAATACAGTGTAAGTTAAATCTGCACCATAGAGTACTGAGCTTGAAATGTTATGAATGTCGAGTAAGTGGGATGCACACGGTCACTAACTTTTTAGGGGGGGGGGGTTCATAATTAAAACATTATATCTCAGTCCTTGTTTAAAAGAACACGCCTTTCTAATTGTTTGGTTAGGTTTCGGGTTGCAGTTTCATTGAAGTATCATGAGCCTGTTTCTCTTTTTACACAGCAGCTAAAGTGTATTACTAATTGTGTCGACAGACGACCGTTAATCTTGGATAGAACAAGGATTTGTATTTGTATACAAATCCTTGGATAGATGAAGAAGCTGGAATTGTTGGGGTTAAAAATAAAAAAAGATAGAAAACTTAATGCATGGTGACCGTTGCTGTTTTATGCGCAAAATAGGAGAAAGCATTGATAATAATTAGCTTCAGCTTCAGTATAAAATGTAAATTATTAATTTTTACTATTTTCATGAAAAAAAGAGGACAAAGAGGGGGCAAAATGAAAGTTTTGTCAAGGAGTTGGGATGCATTGTATTTAAAACAACTACATATTCACACCAGATTCATGAAAATTTCAATGTAAATATAATCGATTTTATCAACTTTTGTTTATCTTTTCTTCAGAATGATGTGAAACAATTTGTAGAGGGCGAAGTGAAGAATTATATTGAACCCCTGAAGATTTCGGTGTTTGTATCCAACCATCTTCGTCGCCACAGACGTGATGATGACGAAATGCCCAACTACTTGGACCATTTCTATGGCGGGCTTGGTAAGTTTGTATCTAAACTGACTGGTGATATCTCTGATCTTGATCGATTGTTTCTTGCATGCTTTGTCCCACGGAAGGGAAAAGGAAAAAGGGGGGGGGGTCTCTGGAATGCCTTGAATGGGTCCTTTCTTTTGTCAAATATATAAATGGTGTGCTACTGCATTTTCAACAAGTTAAAATGTCAATGGGTCAGTAATTTTCATCTTTCGATTACCATTTTGTACATGCTGTTTTGTCGCTTTAAATCAAATTAAAAAGCAAAAATTGTATATATGTGATAACTCAGAAATATATGAATGGGTAATGAATTTGCCATGTAATACGTTTATTGGGGGGGGGAGGAGGGATTTCACAAGACTTCAATATGAGAATGGGGGTGATTTTGAAATCCCAGCTGCACGTCCTTGTAGAGTAACTTGAGACCATCCCATCCTTGGTCAAATTCTCACTCTTTATTCATCTTTTTAATGGCATACACGTAGAAAGGTCTAAACGAATTTGTAATAGTATGTTCTCCGTAATAAAAAATAGTGGGAGAGCTAATTATAACATACTCCCTGGGACTATATTATGTCCCAGGTACTCCCAAGTCCATGAGTGAACAAAATGTAACACAGATAAATAAATTCTGACACCACCACAAAATTTACAAAATCTATAGACAAATGACACAAAGAAGCACACACGAATTAAGAAAGAGCGACAACCAGTGATGAGGTTATACAAACTGACTTAAATGAGGACGTTGGTTTTGTCTATTGTCATGTTTGGACCTTTTATAGCTTACTCTACAGTTTGGTTCATTGTTGAAGGCTGTATTGTGACATATAGAGTTAACATCCTAGTCCTAAATTGGGAGATTGTTGTCACATTGGCAATCATACATCTTTTCATATATCAATTGTTGCTTTATATGTGAAAGAACGTGGCAGATTTCTTACGAGAAGGAACATGGGATTTCATGAGAAGGAATGTTTTATATTGTACATGAGGCACTAATCCAATAAAATACATAGAAATACCTATTTAAAAAACTGTGATGATATCTTGGCAGTCTCTAGAAAGTTTAGATCTTCAAAATTGAAATAAAAATCGTTGAAGATAAAAATAAAAATTGTCCTTATTATTATTTCGTGAGTATGTATAACATCAGTAAAAAATATAGTAACTTTTTATACGAGCAAAAATATCAGCGTTAATTGTCTTAATTCATAAATTTAGATTTAATTGAGGGATGATTTAAACCATCTAAGCCATCATCATATAAAACAGTTTTTCATGGTTATATTGAGTCTGTATAAGGTTCATCAATAAGCATTATTTATATTTTTAGGCAAATAAAGATGTTTCCAACATGGTGACCGAAGACAGGAGGATTGCCTTTAAAACAAAGATTATATATAAAATGTAACAATAAATATGTACAATTATTTTATTTTATAGGCAAGTAGAGAGACAATAAATATCAATGGAAGACAGAGATCTGATGTAAAGAACTGTCAAATTATTTATTTTCAAAACAAACAATTTTAAAATAAAAATAAATAAAAAATCTTTTTTGTTGCCACAGAACATTCTCAATATATTTCAGTGTGTAACTATTACTTTCAAGATCTGTAGACAAGTGAGGGGAGAAAATTAGGGACTTTACAGAGTGACTAAAAATACCATTAAAGGATCATATTAGGATTACAGATACCATTATTGAACATCAGGATTACTTAAAATGGTATATAATAGAAAACCAAAGAATATGGGGTATCCATCCACGACACAAAATCAGTTCATGCACAACAAAAAAAACACACAAAGAGCAAAGGAACAGGGCTTTTATTGCTGTTCTTCATCTGAAAGTCACAGTGAGGCCTTCAACACAGAGCAAAAAAACTCTCACCTCACTGCAAGTTTAAGACGGTCCCTAGCACCGGCTTGAGCAGAATTCTTTGCAAAAATAATTTGGATAGACTTTGTAAGATGTAACACCACCTAATCAGGCCCGGCCAAAAAAGAACATACTGGAAAGTAGTACATATTTAAAACAAAATAGTTACTACGCATAACAGTAAATCTTAAAACTATGTAGCATATATTTTAGTAATTAAGGTATAAGATGAAAGGTGAAGGACTGGTGATCCTTGTATGGTTATATTTTCCATAGCACTTTCAATGATAAGATATATTGCTGTTTGCTTCACGTCCAGTGGCAAATATTTCATGCAATTCAGGACTATTAACAAATAAACAATAAATCTAATAGGTAGGATTTCCAAGCGAGTTGGCCTGGAACTAAGATATTCACTGGAAAATGATAGTTTACATGTATATTGGCAGAAATTTTCCCTTGCAACAGGCCACCGAACATGCTTCAAGCATGGCACTCTCTCTACTGGTAATATTGACATGTGTCTATTGAGCTTGATTTCACATGTTTTCATACAATTTTATCCAGTCAACTGGTGACCATAAAACTTGTTCTAATCTCACTACGTGAACATGAAGACAAGAATATGTCATTCTAATCTATAAATGGTCTGGTGTTTTAAAGTGCAATTTGGTTGTTGATAGATATTGTTTCTTTTATGTACAGTCCTGTGATTGTAAGTCAAAATCTAATTTAAGACATTACTATAAAAGTTTTATTGATCATCTGTATATCTGAAATAAGTTGAATCATAATGCTGACCTATTTAGTTGTAGGTGTGGGAATGACTATATTTAAATTTACAAGAACTGAAATTTAATCATTTCAGCATATCATTTCGAATTGATAAACAGCAGATGTTTTCATGGAAAATTTTAATCAGTTTCATGGAAACATGCTAGTTAGATATGATAAATTTGACAAACTCCCATGTAAAGATAAATATGGACATCTGTCAATGATATATAACCGACTTATCAATTTATTCATATATATTATGTAACAACAAGTGGGATCTGAACCTTAAAAAAAAGGCTGAGTCCACCTAAGCCTGTTATCCAGTGGTTGCCATAGGTTTTAAAATTGTGTTTTGTATTCTCATGAATTTAATTAATTTTTTTGGATGGTTTCACACTTTGTAATTCCAAGGCCTTTTTAAGTTGTGTTTTGCTCATTGTAGAAGGCAATACTTTGGCCTGAAGTTATAGTTATCCTTTCCTTTGGTGGATAGCTGTCTCACTGGCAATTTTACCACCTTTTATCTTTACTATAAAATTGTCTTCACTGTGTACTCTGTATAAAGAAATGGAGAGATAAAAAGGCAGTATTGTCCATTCTGGTAAAAAGTTTATTGAACACATAAATTACACATGCAAAACAATTTAAAACATGTACAATGTGGAATGTGGATCCTACTTTATGAAGTACACTTGAAAGGACAGTACATGTTAGGTGGATTATGCTTCCGCCGCCCACCCCCATTGTTTTCCTAAGAATCTGAATTATACATACTCTTTGAACATGCACACATTAGCATTCACATTTTATTATTTTGAACATGCACACATTAGCATTCACGTTTTATTATTTTGAACATGCACACATTAGCATTCATGTTTTATTATTTTGAACATTCACACATTAGCATTCACATTTTATCATGCATTCCTTCATAGTTCGAACAAAATTTGCAAGCATACACTTTTAAACATAAAATAGATCATTCTTACAAATTTCTAGACGAAAGAATTCAATTATAGTGAGTTTTATTCAGTTTTATGTGAAAAACAATTATATTTACTCTATAAATCCAAAAAAAATATACTTTGGATTGAATTATTTTCGAGGATACCATTTTTTTTATATCAAGGAAAAATAGTATTTTTATTGAATTTTTTCAATATTCCGAAATGAGTTTTACAATACTTAAACATTCACTCAACCTGCTTTGTTTCTATTTTAAAGGGACACTAGCTGTCAAATTTATGTGCACCGATTTGACTCAAATTCTCATATTTGATTTATAACAATGTAAAACATTTTTCCAAATTATTAAAAGTCTAAAATAAACAATTTACAGAGCATGAGCTTGATAACATGTAGCTACGTTTCGTGTGTATTTTAGTCTAGACGCCATCTAATTTACTATGGAGTAAAATATAGATATAAATAGATTAAGCGAACTCGTGCAATTGGATTTTTCTAGGTCTATTTAATTTCATATTATAGATTAAAAATATATGTTAATCATCGTTTTTACCTGTATAAGAATGATTTTTTGTCAATCGAATCAGTCAATCAAATGATTTACCTTTGTTTCACTTTCAATGTTGACATTCTTTTCCTTTAAATGACTGATCACGCACGATTCATGCGTTATCCATCTCTAGCTAAGGGGTTAAATTTAAGTTCACATGAATACGGATTCAATGAGGTCGAATTATTCACTTGCAAGTGAATAATTAATCTTCGATGTTTCTTAGCTTATTTTGTCAAAATTGAACCATACTTGCTGCTAAAAGCGAATTATTATTTCACTATTTCACTTTCATAAATGATTAACCAAAGACTGCAGGAAATGGTCCTTCTTTGTGAACACCACCAAAGACTGGAACAAGCTTCCCCCGGGGAGATCGCCACAGCACAGTCATTTGAGACATTCAAATCTCAAATGACCAACCTTACAAAATAAAGATGAACATTTGTTTTTATCCTGTTTTTATCCATGCAGAACCAATTTGCCAGTATATTCAGAAAGTTGAATGTGGGCAGTATATGGAAGAAGAAGAAGAACAAAAAAAATCCTATTTTAGATTTTTTATATATCTCGTAGCTAGTGCCCCTTTAAGCTATTCAAGAATTTGAATAAGTCCAATACATCATCATTTTTTTAACAGAATGGGAGGGTGGTATTTTCTGGATGAAATAAATTCATCTACAAATCATATAAGAAATTTTTAGACTATTTGTAATAGCAACATAAATATACTTCAAAACAATAAAATCATGAACACATTTTGGATAAAACTGAAAGACATCTAGCACCATTTGAACACTTTAAGGATTTTGTCTGTCAGTGCTGCAAGATAAGTCGTGTTATTTGTCTTTATTGCACAGATATCTAATACAGCGCCATCTGTCCGTAATCTCTGTTTCAACTGACTTTTTCCACAGTCCCATATATGCAACTGAAATGAAAATGGAGAACATGATCAAAACACAACATGCAATAATGTGAAAAAAAGCAAAAATTCAGATCAGAAAAAAAAACTTTTTTTCAATATCTGATGTGTAATACAAAAAATGTATAAAAAATATCCTTTTGAGATACATGTATAAACATTCTGAATATTTTTCTATGTTTTTGTGTGCATCTTTTCTGGTTATTATAAAAGTAAATGAATGCATTTTTTGAAACATTTTTTTTACAAGTAGCTGTGGCAAGAGCGCATCATACGCCCTTTTTGTGCATATTGAAATTGTTGCAAAAATAAAATGGGATATCTAGAAGGCATTTATTCAGAAGTAAATAATTTTGCTCTACATTCTTAATGTGCCGGTCACGATTTTGGAGCCTGTAGTTCAGTAGTATTATTTGTTTTTTGTAAATTGTATTGATATAAATTAGGCCGTTAGTTTCCTCATTTGAATTGCTCCACATTTTTCATGTCAGGGTCTTTTATTGCTGACTTTACATCAATATGTTTTAATGACAAACAGCAACCCATTCAAAGCACAACGAAAATTAACTTAATAGGGGAGAAGGGCACAGAGAAGGAGATTCAAGAAAGTTTGAGAACTATAGAGAGATGCATATTATATATGTTATCCTTCTATTAATGCCTTTAAAATACTACTTATTTCATTGTATTTCATGATTGATTGATTGGTGTTTAACACCACTTTTTTACACTATTGTGCTAATTCCAAGCGGTCAGTTTGTATTATTGGAGGAAACCCGAGTCCCAGGAGAGAACTACTGACCCTCAGTAGGAAAACTTTCAATCCTAGTAAATTAAGATTAAAGTCGAGCGCACCTGCAACATGCGAGATTCAAACTCACAACCTCAGTGTTGAAAAGCTAGTGAAACAATAGTTCAACTACTTAGACCACTCGGCCACCGAGAAAACTCTAAAAAAAAATCCATTTCTTTTTTATTCGAATTGTTGAAAAGTATTTGACAATTATACCTACCGATTGTCCAGATTCATCTCCAGCACACACAAGCATATTATTTTCCATTGAAGGATGAGGTAATAACACGGATTTACTGAGTAAAGTTTGTGTACGTCCCGCATGGAATGTTTGTACAATATCACAGGAACACGACATATCTAATGTTGTAGGATCAGCACTAATGTTTACACAATTCATTTCACACAACTGATGGCGAACTGCCGCATGTTTTTGTGATGGTTTAAAGCTACATAGTAAATGTCTTGTATTTGGTTCAAAACACTGACTTGATAAACTACCTGAAATTAGTAACAATCGAAATATGTTGTAATTATTTTAAAGACAGTTTGTTTAAAATTAAATCATATATATGTAACAGTAAATTTGTAAAATCAGATTTATTCAAAATACATGAACTTTTGAGAGATTTAGTGAAATCATTAGCAGATTTAGCAGTTTTATAAAATCCCTGAAACTGATAGGAATTTTATAAAATCACTAACACTGTTAGGAATTTTATAAAATCACTATTTTTGTACTAAATTCCCTGAATTAAACCAGTGAATATGTAAAAAAAGTTCTCAAATTGTTTAGCGATTTTGTAAAATTTCTAATCAGTGCAGTACTCCTGAAATTTTAGGGATTTTACAAAACCACTTGAACTTGTACATGCAATAATGATCAATATTAAATAAAGTTCATATTGACTTTTTTTTTTATAATATCATAGTCCATATTCAATAATGTTTTTTGTGTTATGTTTTAAGTCAACACAATAAATTCTGTTCTCTCTTGTAGAATAATTTAGCTATCCTAAAATAATGTTTGATCAATTAATTTTCTTTCACAGAAAAATTATTGGAAACCCTTTTTGTCCAGATCAGAAATTCTCTGTGAATTTTCAAAAACACATTGGATTATTTTTCAAAATAATTTTGTTTTTCAGTTTTAAATTAGTCACTTTTCTGGGAGTCATCTCGAGTCTAATATTAAATTTTCTATGACATATGTAATAATATCCTTTCTTTCTACTGTACCTCTACATTCATAAGTGACTGAAAAATTTCAATTTCATGCTTGTCAAAGGGAGATAACTCCAGATTTATTTTGTTGCCAACTTTATATACATTTGTTTGTACATTTATATGACCTTACCCTCAACAGGTAATATATGTAGTTTGTGTTGGTCTTGTTTCTTCTCATAAAAACTAACTTTATCAAGCTGACCTACCAAAAGACCACCACATCTGAAATATCAAATGTATAATTATAATACAAAGATGGTTCATAGCCATTCTAAAACTTGCAGTGAGGTGAGTTTTTTGGCTCCGTGTTGAAGGCCTCACTGTGACTTTGAGATGAAGAACAGCAATAAAAGCACTGTTCCTTTGCTTTTTATGTGTTTTTTTTAACTGATTTTGTGTCATGGATGGATACCCCATATCCTTTGTTTTTCTATTAAAACATTTAATTTAATACATATAATTTAAAATATATGGGCATACTCAATAATTACTCAATTGTCTCAAATAGGTTCATACATTTACAGCTACAGAGGCCATATTGAATTTCAAATCACCACAATTCACAAGTTTTAGAAGATCTACCTACCCATAGATCATTTCTATTGTTGGTTACCTTGATCGGTTTTAATGCTTTTAATACTGTGGATTCATTATTATTCGTTGGATACCAATTTTTCGTAAATTTCGTGGGTATAGAAGAACCACGAAATTAAATGTTCAACAAATGACAAATTTCCTATAGGCTTGTATGCAGATTTCGTCAAAACCACAAAATTAAATATCCACGGACATGCAAGTTTTCCTTAATCCACAAAAATAAATGAATCCACAGTAGTAAAAATGCAAAATAGTTTTACAAATTGAATAAAAAAATACCAAAAGTCCAACAAGCTCAACTTTTTGGGATTTCAGTTAACCTTGACTGTTATAAGCAAATGTCAAAAGCAGTATCAGATATGTTGTAAGGAAAACTTGGATATTCATGGATATTTGATCTCATGGTTCGCCAAAGTCTGCATATATAAATAGAAAATTTGTAATTCATTGCACATATAAATTTGTGGTTCTTTGAAAATTGGTATCCAACGACTAATAATGAATTCACAATATAGAATCGATGTATAGATTATGTGAATATAAAATAAATGGAGAATGAGTCCATGGGACACAGATAATGCCCCCACTTGCATATAATCCCATAAAGGGGCATAACTCGAGAACAGTTAAAGTGACGCCACCAAATTCAAACTCATCTGTGTTTTGTGGTAATAAGTATTGTGTATAACTTTCATAATATTTGGTTGAGGCAAAAGTTAGAGAACGGAAACCAATTTCGGGACGTACAGACGCACAAGGGTAACACTTTTAAAATGTCCCCTTCCGTGACAGCAGGGATATACAAATATAAATAGTTAAAGAGAGGTTACAAACTTTTTACAAATCATAAATGTAAATCATGAAAAGAAAAACATCTGTATAAAGAATTCAGTACAAATACCTTAAGAAAATTCCTATTATGAAGTAAGAAAGTACAATCAAAAACTTACCTGAACATAGCATTCATATCACTAGGTACATACTGAAGTGAGGCTACAGGTGACCTACTTCCTTCAGTATTCAATTCTTGAACATGCTCAGTTGTGTTTCGTATATCATACTCTAACACACGACCATTCTGCATGCCAACATAGAAAAAATTTCTATCATCAGCATTCCAAACACAACTCCAGGACGGTAACTGGGTTTCGTATCTGTAAAATATATATTTTTTTTTAAAGAAATCAGTAATGATGATTCATACTTTATAGAGGAAAATATTTTGCAAATTCTGTGATCAAAATGAAGTGAAAATTTCCTCTCAAGTCAACTTGATCTTAAAAGAAAGATAAGAATCATGAACAAGAAAAACATGAAAAATGGAACCTCAGTCCTTTTAAAAGCAAAATTTAAACTCTGAAAAATATAAAGCACTTTATAGAAGTTGTTTCTATATATATATTCAAACAAATACTCTTGAATTGTCTCATGTCCTCTTTTGAAACTGCAGCTTCCTCCACCAGTACAAACTGCAGAAAGTGGCATTAAACACCAACAATCAATCAATCTTATACTACAAATTCAATAGCTTTTTTCCTTTTAATGCATGGTAAAAATGTCAAGGACAATTATTCATTTAACTAAAAAAGTACAACTACGCATTCTACCATATTTCGAATATTTGTATATGTTAACATGAAACATTTTTAATTTAGACAAATGCAAATATTAAAGTAAATGTTTTATATAGAACATGTAGAAAAATATAAGATATAGTTTTGTTTTTTTACGCAAATACAAGTAACAGGATTATATAATTAACAATAAAAAAAAATTGAATGTAATTGATATTTAAGCAATTACAGTATCAACAATATGCCACTCTTATTTGAACACTAAAGAGATCATCATTTATTTGAAACAACCTACATTGAAAATCATGAAATCAAATATCCTCCAATATGCCAGTTTTCCTCAATCCACTAAAAATACCTGAATCCACGGATTCTAAAGTACACAAAAATATACAATACAATGAAACACATTTGGAATCCTATATGCTCATTATTAAAAGATTTTGTTTCTTACAATAAACTTACGTTTGTACGACAGCATTACTTATAACACTGGTCATCTTGACCGTCTTGTCTAAAGCACAGCTAAGTAATATACCATCATCAACGTTAGGATGGAAGCTTACATCACGGATAGTCTTACTGTGGATAGTTAAATACTGAGAGGTTTTGAAGTCCAGGGTACTTATCTGAAAAGTATAAATTACAGATAAACAAGTAAAACTGTGAGCTACTGCTCAATAATGATACCCCAATGAAGGAAATTGGTACACAGGAAGTTGATGAGGAATAAATCTGAAAATGCTTCACATGGGAAAGCATGATAACATGAAGATTGATAACAAAATTAAGAAGGCTCGGATTCCGAGTTCCCGAAAAAAATCCAACAGAATTTAATATCTGATTCATATATCTACACACAATTTTCCCGAAATCACGATAATGTATCACACATTTTTTGTCCATTCTCAAAAAGTTCTATAATAAATGCACACAATAATTTCTATATGTACAGTAATAGAATCTATATTCACGTATTAAGTATTCATTAAATAAGACACCTACCTTCTTAATTCCAAATCCTGGAAACAGAGGACTTGCTGATGGCTGAGATACAACCAGTGTGGCTAATGATGGACTGTAAGCCATCACACGACAGTTTCCACCCTGAAAGAAATATATTCTTACAACCTGATTATGACTATAAAAGGGTTTAGCCATCTTGTGTTTTCAAAGTAAACTTAGCTGTCTTTAAACAATCATATGAAATTTTCATTGCATCTTCTGACTTTTCTATTTTTTTATTTATCAACTTAATCAAAACCAATTTTTCTCTTCTTTTTCAATTTCCATTAAAAATTATTTGCCTCATTTGGTGGTAAAACAGATTTTGATTTGATTTGATCTTTGGTGTTTAATGCCATTTTCAGCACTATTGGCTATTTGGTGGCAGTAAGTTTTTGTTGGTAGAGAAAGCAGGAGTCTCTTGAGCACCACCACCTTTGGCAGAATAGCTGATAATACTAGTCAATTAAGATTGGACTCAAAAACATTTGCAATGTATGGGGTTCAAACTCACAATCTCAGTTGACAGGCTGGTGATACAGTAGTTGAACTATTTGGACCATTGGGCCACCAAGGCCCCCGTTAAAATGGAAATCCTTGCAAATTTAGACATAGTCCTTTAAGTACAAGTATATAAGAAAACAAGCTTTAAATGTACTTACATCCCATATTTTGATTGTTTTGTCTAAGATAAACTGTCCATCACTCTGTGTAGAGGTGGGATCATCTGAAACATTTGACTGTGATGAATTAATAGACATCTGCAATGGCTGCGACCTGTAAATTAAAATAATACATGTTTTTATTTTCATGATTTTCAAAATAATAAAATGTGTCTTATTTTCATGTTTTTCAAAAATAATGTGTTTCCTTTTCATGATTTTTAAAAATAACAATTTTTATGAATTCTGTTCTAGTCAACAATGTTGGAGAGTGCCTATTGTTGAATATGTGCATAGACCAAGGCTTCCAAAATGGTCATATTTGCAGGACAAATGTAAAATTTATCAGACATTGTCCGACTGGGCCAAGCATGAAACGAACATCCTACGTAGGTTTGCCATTTCAATGTTCATGTGATTCAGAAAAATCAACCATTTTGACTTGACCTTGTGCATTAAACAGCCACACTTTACAGTCATTAAAGTGACAGTACTTTATAAACAAGCCCTACTATGATCCCCTCTTATTACAATCAAGGCTAATTAAGTGTCTTAACAGGTGAGATCGACCTGTGATCACCTGTGTCAGGTAAACTATTTGTGCTGGACATCAATCAATCATTTTGGAAGTTATTTTTTTCATTTAAATTAAAACATTCCTGGTTATAAATCTATCTACTTTTTATCAAAACAGATTGAGATTATCAGAAAAACGTATTTAAAACGATAAGATCATAATTTACACGCAACAGGTAAACTATTTTGTACCTGACATTGATCGGTCTATTTATCTAAAAGTTATTTTTTTCAATTTCAGCAGTTTGCATCTCATCAATTTAGTCAAAAAAGATTCAGAAATACATATGTGAACATAATTTTGATAAAAAAATTAAAAAGGTAGTAATAAAAGTTGTAATTCAAAAATTGTCAGAACCACATTGTTTGAAATATTACATGTGTGCACATGTGCACTAGGGTGAGGTTTAATTATGCATCCGAATTTTTCAAAAATGCTTAAATTATTATTGATACCTTTATCTAACGTTCATTTCAAGAGTATTTTCCTGACGAAATAACGTGGAAAGAGCTATTTAAACTCAATTGAGCTTTGTAAACGTACACAGATTTTACTTATCCGTCTGTGGTCCATGTTTTACCATTGTCAAGTCAACATCCGATATTAGAAAAATGTGTTTTTTAAAATCGAAAGCTAAGTTGTTGACAGCGTAATTTTCCACAAATAAATAGTCTTAGGCAGATATAAGTACGCTAATGTTGCACACTTTGAAGGATGCATCGTCAATTGAGCAGTCAGGTCATCGAACATCGTCAGAACATCGAATTTATAGCAAAAGTCAAGTTTAAAATCATTTTTGCGTTAATCATTGTTCATATGATACCCAACTGATTAAAATGCTTGCCTTTTGTTACTAAGTGTTAAGGGATTGAAATCAAGGTAACACAAAAAATGTCTGGCAGGCTCAAATATTTTTTGGAAGCCCTGGCATAGACCCAGGCCTAGGTGAGCAAAGGCAGAATTGTAAAAAAAAAAGAGAATTATTTGAATTCAAAACAGTTTACTTATTTAAAAAACTTGAGGGATTGTAAAGATTTTCAACATTTTCATATATTTCAAGGAAATTTCCAGGCCTGGAGTAATTGAAATAAAGATCCCTGCTTTCTCACATTTTTAAGGTACCTGTATATAAACTTGAAGGACCATAACATATGAACATTAATTCAGTGGTTGTTGGTTGTTGCTGTATGTTAAATTTGTGTCTCGTTTATTGTTTTGTTCTTCAATTAGGCCATTAGTTTTCTAGTATTAATTGTTTTACACATTTGTCGTTTCGGATCCTATTTTGGCTTGCTATGCGGTATGGATTTTGCTCATTGTTGAAGGCTTTTTGTGACCTATAGCTGCTTACTTCTACGTCTATTGGTCTCTGTCTGAGAGTTGTCTCATTGGCAATCTAACCTCATCTCCTTATAGTTATATCAAAGATAAGTAATTGATCAACAAATCTCTATCAAAACTATACCTGACATTTTGTAGTTGTTCTCGTAACTTTGCAATCTCTGTCCGTAGCTTGTTATTGTCTCCAACAGTCATCTGATACTGCATTCTTATTTGTGCAGCCTCCATTTCACTTCTCCTCCTGGCCTCTTTTTCTTTCTCTAATTCCTGAAGAGCTCTATCCCTCTCTGTAGTATCTACAACCTAAATATTGAACTTATAGGTAAATTGCATAAAAGCCAAAAACAAAAAACAAACCCCAAAACAGGAAGTTGATGTGTAAAGTATACCGCTACTTGTAATTAGACACAGATAAAAAAAAAATCCAGTGGGTTTTGAATAAAAACTCAAAGTAACACCAAACCAAACCATGCAAACAGGAAGTGACTGCCTGGCAGATCTGACGATGGCTTAACCAGTAAAATTGTACATCATAAAGTTTAAGACTATATATCAAATCATTCCTTGATACAAAAGCCAATTATCTTTTAAAATGATCGTTATAAATGAAAGATCTGACAATTTGCACTATTTTTTTCTGTATTTATTCATAAAGAAGCAAAAATTTCCTGCATTATAAGGATGAAGACAAGTATTAAATGTCTTTTGTGAGGTGTGAGCATTTGCTCTGTGTTGAAAGCCTCACTGCGATTTTGAGATATAGAGCATATATAAAAGTACTGTTCATTTGTTTTTGGTTTTGTAAAAGAGGGGTGAAAGATACCAGAGGAACAGTCAAACTCATAGATCGAAAATAAACTGACAACGCCATGGCTAAAAAATAAAAAGACAAACAGACAAATAATACATGTAGTACAGATGACACAACATAGAAAACTAAAGACTAAGCAACAGGAACCCCACCAAAAACTGGGGGTGATCTCAGGTGCAATAAAGGATTTCAATCTTGTATTAATAGTCAATATCCTTTAATTTCCACGATCTGACATGCAAGTGCAGCTATGGGGAACATTAAAAGGGAAGATACTTTTAAAAAGATATACAATTCAGTGTTCTCCCCAAAATTTTTGGATAGCACCAGGGTAACACATGTCGAAATGATTTGTACAATATGTCGTGTCGTGTCGCGTTGTATCACTTATTTTTTTCTTTTTAGTTTTTGTGTCATTACCTTTTTGTCTTTTGTTTTGTTTACTGTTATGTAGACTTTGGGTCAAAAAAATATTGGTAAAAAAAGAAGTTAATCATGCAATAAACAGTTTGTATACTTTAATACGTTTTAAGAATAAATAAAAGAAAGCACTATTAGTCTTTAACTAAAGTCACTTTTTTTTATCTTAATCAAGTTAATTTTGTCCTGATACTTGTAGTTACACTACACATTCCCCATTTTTGTTAGATTACACCATAACAATTAACTTTAAACAAGAAAAATATTTAATGCAGAACTTTTATTAAATTAAAAATTATTTTCCATTTCTTTAGACCTAATTCTTTTAAACAACTATAAAACTATTATTAGAAACATTATTGTGTTACTTCATAGACACCCATTGAAAGATATCATGTAAAAATAAGTTCTAATCAATATGGATCTTTAAAAATACTACCTATTTAATATAATATGTCTGTGCATTAATACAAGTATGATTATCAAAAATAATTTGCAATATATTTTTGTTGGTATGTTCAAAGAAAGTTTTGATCCTTAAGGTAACATTCTTGTATAATTTTGTATTCAATTTATACTTTATTTCTATTTTCAATGATAGATAATATTTAAGGAGCACACATTTGTTGTAATAAGCTAAAACAGGGGAAGTAACTCAAAAATTAATTTCCAACATTTTTAAAATACGCAAATCATTTTTGACCAAAGGCTAGAGTAATAGAGTTTATTAACAACTGTCTGCTTGTCTCTCACAAGTCTGTGATCATTAAGTTATGATCTCTTAATTAATTAAAACACAAAAGAATCATGTACATCGATTAAATCCAATCAACAAGGTTAACCTCAAAAGGTAAATCGATCACGTGGTGTAAACAAATCTACATTGAACTGGTTTGAACTGGTCAAATTTCATCTGAAATTTTATACCCCACGGAAAAGGTTTACCATGTCGTTTAAAACTTTACCGATTTACGATTTTTTAACCGAAAATTTTAGCACCACGGAGAAAAATTATACATCACGGCAAGAACGATACCACCACGGTAGAAAATTATACATCGCGGGCCCGTGGTCCTTTAAGGGCCTGGGGAGTACACTGCAATTGACAAAAAATTTTGATGTGATCGAGAGAAAGCCGGAGTTATCAACAGACATATGCAAATTTAGCTAACTTTTGAAAATTATGCCATAACTAGAATGTATTGGAATATACAAGGTCACCTAAAAGCTTATATATGTATTCTACAAAAAATTTGCAGAAAGTGAAGATTAATTCCTCAAACATGTGCCTTCACTTTTCAAGATCGAGAGGCAGAAGACCTCAAAGGGTTAGTCTAACTCATAAGTCAAATGCCATGGCAAAAAATGACAAATGACCAAAAGACAAACAACAGTCTACAATGTTCCTATACTGAACATTATTATATTTGTACCTACCTTTAAACATTTAGCATACAACACTCGAATGTCTTGTCTTTTAGCTTTAGCATTACACTGAGGGCACTTTCCTCCTTGACCTTTCAACCATTTATCTATACAACTAAAAATAAATAGCATTTACAATGACTGTCAGCATAGATAAAGCATTTTGAAAACAAAAAATCAGATTTTTTATGTTAAAATTTGTAAATACACACACATGTAAAAGTACTGTACGAATAGACTGAAATTTTATTTCTTCAATGCATAAAAGGCATAACTGGAATCATCAAACATAATTGATAGTACATCGGACTCCTATGAAAAAATAACTGACATACTGACAAAAACAAACAACACATGATCTAGATAACCTGACTTGGTACAGGCACAAAAAGTGGTGGGGTAAAACCAGGTTTACTTACACAAACAACACATGGTATAGCTAACCTGACTTGGCACAGGCACAAAAAGTGGTGGGGTTAAACCAGGTTTACTTACACAAACCTACTTTTTCATTTTTTAAATTTCCCCATTCAATGGCAAGAAAATGAAACTTCCTAATATGTCCTGTTTGTCCTGTCCACATCCTCATTTATTTAGGTGAAATTTAAAAAATCTAGAATTCAAAATTGATACTATAAGTCAGAGGAGCATTAGTAAAGGAACAAAATAAGCTAAAAATATTGATAGGTTATGGAACTCCTTTTCGAGATACTTGATTTAAAAAAAATGGCGGAAAAAAGGCTGAATCGGATTTTTACCTTATATTTGCATCGGTATTATTTGGGTCTCAAATCGAAAGAAAAGAAATCTAGATTCTCCTTAAATTTTGGTAAACGACCTTTTATGAGCTACTGAAGTCTTATATGAAAAGAAAAATGGGTGTTATGGGGCAAAATATTTTACCATGTATCATAGGAAAAAGACCAAGGAGTCCGAACATCTGACAAAAAATCCTTAACCTGACCCAAGTACACCCTTAAGATGTCTTTTAGTTATTTTTGTCATTGCGCTGCTGTCTCCTTGATGTTGACCCAACATCTCTTTTTATTCAACAAAAGTAAAATGCATGAACAAAATGTTATTGGGAAATTATTATAATCTAATATTAAAGTGTGTTAGCACAATTGATGATGAGTGTATTTAGTACCTCTGTCCAAAAAGATGTCCACATTTTAATGAAGCTAATCTGTGATTACCAGAACTTGTCCATTCTTCAAAACATATAGGACAGCACTGAAACAAATGTACATAATTATGAAATTAATTGCAAAAACACTATTTGAATAGAATAAATATATATATAGCACTTTTTGTGTGTGTGGTTTTTTTATATAAACAACCTCATCTGTCATCACAAGATCTATATATTTTTTTCCTGTACAATTTCTACTTTCTACAGCATCAAGATATCTGTACACACTGCTAGTTGTCTCATTGGCAATCATACTACATCTCCTTATTTTTATATTGTAGTATAATGATGATAAACAGGAAAGAAATAAAATTCTGTCTTGCCCTCTAAATCTCTTGATATTTTGTGGCTTTTTATTGCTGTCTTACCCTCTAAATCTCTTTTGATATTTAGTGGCTTTGGATTGCTGTCTTACCCTCAAAATCTCTTTTGATATTTTGTGGCTTTGGATTGCTGTCTTACCCTCTAAATCTCTTTTGATATTTTGTGGCTTTGGATTGCTGCCTTATTGACCTATCCCTTACATCTTATAATTATTTCAAACTATCACGACGCTTTTAGCATGTTTAGATTAAATATATTTATTTACTGTCAGGCAGTTGGCAGACTTTTTTAATGCCTATATCTAAAATGATAAAAGAGATTAAATACTTCAATTTGTAAATGGTAAAAAATTGATCATACATTGCCTTCATCCTCAGGTTCACCACCACCAGTTTTCTCTGGCGTCATTATCCTTCGTCGTTTTGGTGACCTGAAATCTCTAGGCGAATCTGTATGACCCTGAATAACTTGCACAGCATTGGCAGCTGATACAGAAGATAATACTGTAGACAGTGTTGAAGGTGCTCCTAAGCTAGGACCACCACTTCCAATTGTTTCCATGGCAACAGATGTAGTCGATGATGTTGATGGTTGATGAGGTGAAGAGTTAGGACCACCACTTCCAGTTGTTCCCATGGCAACTGGTGCAGCAGATGTTGATGGTTGATTAGATGAAGAATGAGGAACACCACTTCCTGTTGTTTCCATGGCAATGGATGTTGATGGTTGATTAGGTGAAGATGATGATGATGATGATAATATTGTAGATAAAGTGTTTGATGAGGATGTTGTAATGGGCTGCATGGTGATATTGTGGACAGAATCCATTGTTGTGACAGCATTTGATTGGATGGTGATGTTAGTGATGGATTCAACAGAAGTCTCAGCATTTGTTTCTAGATTCAGACTGGGAAGTGGTGGCAGGGTAATAACACCAGGTAATGTTGACCTGGATGATCTAGGTTCTGAATCCAAAGCTGATGCTGCTCCAACAGATGGCAGCACTTGTTGGTTTTCTTCCTAAAAAAATAAATTATCTTATTTATACTTGAACTATTTCTTAAGATCATAAATGTCTTAATCAAAAGTTAATCTCATTGTTTGATATAATGATGTTAAACTTTTTCCCAGATTCACTTGGAATTTACATGTCCATTTAAACTTTTGCAAAGTATACTGTCCCATCGAATAAATACAATATCTATTGTTCTCTGTGGAGTTCATTCAATGGGACCTTTTAATTTCTCCTTCACTAAATGCACACTTTATATAATGATCAGCCAGGTGCTTTACAAATTAATTTTTAGACCAAATGTAGGTTGTTAGTCATGAGCAATAAGCCTGTAATTTCAGAAGCTGTGATTGGTTGCTTTTTCATAACGACTAAATGCAATTGGAACCAGACTGTGCCTAAATGTTAACTGCGAAAAAAACACCTTAGTAGTTTATCAGTAAAATATGGGGAAAAAAATCCAAATTTTCCTCTGGATATTATCTTTTGATTATAAAGAAGCTTTTGTCCAAATTTTGGATTAAATTCCATGAAGTAGATATAAGAAGATGTGGTATGAGTGCCAATGAGACAACTCTCCATTATCAGTAAAAAAATTATAAAAGTAAACCATTATAGGTCAAAGTACAGTCTTCAACACAGAGCCTTGGCTCACACCGAACAGCAAGCTATAAAGAGCCACAAAAATTACTAGTGTAAAACCATTCAAACGGGAAAACCAACAGTCTAATCTATATAAAAAACGAGAAACGAGAAACACTTATGAACCACATCAACAAACGACAACTACTGAACATCAGATGAAGGTATGAATAAGTAATTGATGTCTAAAAATATTTAACCAGGATCCCTATATCTGGCTTCTGCAACTTTTATCACAGGCTTGACAAAAAGAATTTGAAAAGATGCACGAGATGAGGAAGCACTCATTTATGAAACTGTTAAGATTGCACTTTAACCCCTTCGCCCCCAATCACGCCTGTAGTCGTGATGGCGACCACCATTCTTTGATGGCCTGTTTGACCCTCCATACTTTTTAAGAACTGCCCCAGCTCAACTGTCTTTACAGCAGGGACTTCAACCATGCAATTCATGGTCCATTAACTCTTCTCAGATGTGTGATTATGAAAATATGGCAACTTTAATGGCCTTTTTAGAGTTCAAAATCGGAAAAACGTGTAAAGTAGCCAAAATCAGGTGGGGGTGGGAGTCTTTTTATGGCCACTACATTACTGGAATGGGCTGTAGGTATCAACTATTATCATAAATACATGCATAGATGGTACAGGAACACAAGGAGGTATAATATGGCCAAAAGAAATGGGGTCTGTAAAATCTAGGTCACAATTTTGTCAGAAATCGGTAAAAACGGACATTTAGGCATACTTGGCTAGCCAATAATAATTCCCCAGCAAGATTCTCAAGTCACATTTACTTCCAATCAGTATGGACAGACTGCTGTAACTGTAAGGTACTACTTGAATGACAAAGAAACACAGTTTAGTCAATGTTCACCTCTCAAGGTCGTATTAAAATCGAATAATAGAATGAAAATGACCATTTATTAGTAGGGGTGGCTTCAAACCCACCAGAAAATAGGGTTAGGGTTAGGGTCCCTATTGTCCTTTAAAATTGACAATTCTCAAAATCTAATTTATGTCAATTTGTTTTTCTAAAACATTTTATCAATAAAAAATATTAATCTGTTTGGCTCAAACATACATTGCATATAATTATTTTTTTTAAAGAATTTAGTACCCTACCCAACCCCTAAAAAGAAAATAAAGAAAATAAGTCAAAAATAGAAATAAGATTTATAGTAAATGTACCAAAAAATATACAATGTAGTAATGACTAAACATATTTACAAAGAATATATAGTTTCGAAATATTCTGTCAACAAAATTCAATATTTTAAAAAATTCTGAAATCTTTGTGATAAATTACCTAAAATATGTAAAATAAAAATTTGGTTAATAATAATTAAAAATTTCTTATAAAATAAAAATTACAGATTGGAAATGAAATGTTGATGTAACCTCTGGAGTTCAATGTTTATCTAATGTTGTTTATCTGTTAAGATGGTTAACTGTATCTTTACTTTATCAGTTTATATTATTTTCACCAAGGGAAATAACTCTATAATTTTTTTTATATTTGTGAAAAAAACAATTTTTCCCATTTAGTACAGATTTCATTGATTCATCAAATAAACTTTTTACTGAATGGAAAATTTTTAACCATTCCCTAGTCATGAATACTTATATATGCTGTTACACAATAAAATCATAGAATATTTGCAAAATTTGTTCTAATAATATTTAAATATGTAAAAGCTTTGTTGATGAAACTCAGAAAATTTGTGAGTATATAAATATTTTAGTAACCACTACCATTGCCGGAATGAACCTCAGTGGTCTGGGGTGCAGGCTTCAAACCTGTAGCTGATTAGCGTCAGAGTGGTTCAATTCCACCTTTCCGGCGATTTTTAGTGCTAAGATTTTCAGAAGGACACTTGTGAAAAGTTTAATAGATATAATGTAGAATTATAATGAACAATTTGCGAAACAGCTGGTTTTACAATTTTTTCCTTTCTAAATGAAAGAAATAACCCCAGGCAAGTCAATTTCCAATGAATTTTTTTTTTATCAACTTTAAAAATATTAATGAAAAACAAATATTTATATGTAGGATTAGGAGGTCAAAATATTGTTTGTTGCCCATGAATCAGTTATAACTGAAGGGTCTCCCTAGATTTATATGCTATTGATTTTTGAATCTTTGATAATGATTAAAAAATTGTATCTTATTAAGTACTTATATTTCAAGGCAATTACATTATTTAGGGACTTAGGCCCAGGACTCCCAAAAGTGGATTTCAGAGTGGTCTTTAAGAAAATCTCACAGCGCATCAGGTTTGCTTTTCATTATAGGGGGATAAGCTACAGCATTGACCAAAACAGACTATTTTTTCTTGATTTCAAACATCAAAATGACTTGAAAATACCTCAACATTGAAATTAAAGTAGTAATGTGTTTACTGTTTTTAAATTGCCATACAAATTTGGGCAAAATGACCGGGAAAAAATAATTATGATTTCTGATTTAAATATATAAACTGATAAATTACATCATTTGGAAGTGTGTCTACGTCTACTTCCACATCTTCATCATCACTCTCCTCTACGTTGACCTCTGATACGATACTGACATCAGAATCATTGTCTTCTCCCTAAAATACAACAAACAATTATTGATTAACTGATCATAATCATAAAGAGGAAGATGAATAGTTTCTGAAACAGTGCTGGTACAATTTTTGTCAACTTGTTTCTGATGTAAAAGATTTAAAACGCCTAGGAGTACAACTTATTAAAAAATGTATAAAACCCACATAATACAAGAGAATTTGGATGGGGGGGTCCTTCAATTCTGTATGCTTTAATTTTTAAAGCCATTATCCACTATTCTTTAATTTTTTGGCCAATTTTTGTGTAGTACATGTACTGGCCTATTATTCTCTTTTCTCTAAACCCCTTTAGACCCTTATATAGCCTAACTTTTTGGGTGTGAATGTAGAACAACAATGTTAAGTATGTCAGTATTTGTTTGGTGGATCATGAGATAAATATTTATAAAAACATGTGAACGGTGAATCTGATGCCAAACCTTCATATTTGTCATTCAATTCTTAAGGGGATAAATAAATGGCCTTCAATAAATGGTATACAGGTATAAATATATAAACTTAACTGTATCTACAATAACCTCTGAATCTTGTATTTATTCTTCATCTGTTAACACATACATGTAGCTGATAGGATGATAGAGCAGATTATATAAAATAAATAACCACCTCGGTTGACAATGTTTTCTTCAGGTAAAAATCTGCTCTATCACCATGATCACTCTCTCCGCTATGTATTATTTATGTACTAATGGAATTAACATTAATATATGTAATGTAAATGGCATTAAAAATTAAATTAACTTAAATAAATTATATACAACCTCAGAATCTGGAATTAATTCTTCGTCTGTTACTGCCTCCACGTCAATATCAATGTGTCGCTCGGGTGATTCTGTAACAACTATAATTTCATCGTCAGAACCTTCAACGTCAATGTCTGACATTATAAGCACAACCTTGAGATTAATATTCCCATGATTTTATCTGAAAGGTATACAGATATAGAGTAGCAATACAGATAGAAGCTCACATTGACCTATTAAAATAATGTACATGTACAACAACAATATTGCAATCGCTGGTATTTCACTGCGAGACTACAGCTGTCTTAGTAAAGGTTTTGGTTTCTTAATTAAGTTCTAGATCTCCAGGTGGTTATAATTACATTACAACGCTCTAGTTTGATCGCTCGTCATAACTTTTGACTTACAAAATAAAAAATTGTATATGTGTATGTGCCATGGCTTAGTACATGTATGTAGAAGTTAAAAAAATTAAAAATAACATTTTTAAAGTAAATAAAGTTAGGTTACTCAGTGTTGAACCGTTAGACATGTTAGAAGAAAACAATTCTATCACAGTGATTTTTTTGTTTGGATTTCATTCCATTGAATTTTACTTTTAAATACAATACATAACATTTGTCTGTAGTGTTAAAATTGGACATGTTGGATGTTCTGAGGTACACAATGTATATTATCAAATTATACTGGGTGCAGGTCGTTTCGTAACCTGGTCGTTTCGTACTTAGTCGATTCGTTACTAACTAGGTCGTTTTGAAACTGAAACGTTTCGTAACCTTGTAACAATAAAATTGAGAATGGAAATGGGGAATGTGTCAAAGAGACAACAAAAATATGTGCATATGATATGAGTTGTAAGTTATGGAAGAAATGCTGAATAAATATTTCGATTAAAAATATAAAAAGACTTATTGATATATGTAACAAAGGACAACATAATGATGAATCTCAAAGAAAGAAAAAAAATTGAGTAAGTTAATGTTCTAAAGGAAGACGATTTACTAAAAAAAAAAGAAAAAAACTTGAACTCCGCCAACGCAGCGTCCCAATCCCGGGTGAAAAAGGAGGACGGTTATGCAATTGCATGTCAAAGTTTTTAATCCTCTACTTAATCACTTGACACCTTATTACTTATAATCACCTGTCAATAGCTGTCATATAACCATTAAGGTTCAACACCAGGCATAATCACCAATTAGCAAAGAATTAAATAATTTAAAACAGTTTTAAATTATTACAATATTGTTATTATTTGATAGTTTTAAAATTATTACAATATTGTTATTATTTGATGCACACTTTGATCATTTTTAAATAAAGAATATATTAGGTATGGAGATGCCAGAACTGTGATAAATAAATTACTTTTAGTTTATTTAAATGATTTCCTGTATTATATGAAAAAAACACAAGAAATTTATTCTGGCTTCAATATATAGACATTTCAAAGAGATATACACTTCCAGAGACAAAACTAGTGAATTAATTTATATATATTGTCTTTAACTGTTTAATTAAGACAAAACTAATAGAGACACACTTTAAAACCATGTATAATTACACCAGGTATGAAACGTCTCAGTTACGAATTGACCTAGTTACGAAACGACCAGGTTACGAAACGACTAGCATTCATTATAATATAGATGAAATTAATTAAAGACAATCTGATGAGTCTTTATGAATTGATCCGAGTTTTTTGCATATGTCGGAGTTGTCTTTTGGACAAGTTGTCTTGTACCCCAAAGTTCTACACTGTTCTAACCCTGGCTGGTAGTGGAAATTTTGGAAGGAAACTCATGCCCTTAGTAAAATGTAGTACGGTTAACTAGAAGTAGCATTTCAATTGATTTGTTTATTGTTTTATCAAACCAAGTCAATTGCTTTGGAGTTGGCAGTCAAACGAACTTTAAATGAAGACATTATGTGTTTTTTTTTTCCATAGGATATCTCTTGTTGGCAGTATAGCATAAAATTATCTGTATAGAACAGGAGAAAAAAAATGGCATGTTTTTCAGTGTTTTTTCCTCTCCAAAATGTGACATGCCATCATTTGTATTATCTACGAACATACTGGGTAGTCTATATGTCATTATTCCCACAAAACATAAAGATGCATTAGCTAGATCCAAAACAAATCAAGAGTTCAAAAATATTCATTTCACTTCACAAAATTTACCGCTAAACAGCTTATTCAAAAGCTAGGTAAATATCCAAGAGAAGCCGAAATAAAATAAATCTGGATGCTAGGGATGTTTGAAATAAAGTTTTTATTACATAAAGTTTTTAACTGATGCTAATTTATTTTATCGGAACTCACCTTGGTTTATCCATCCTTACTATTTGGACAGTCAGATGACAGTTCTGAGTTGTTCAATGCACAGCCACAGCTTGCTAAACAGTTTGCACTACCTGATTTTTTGTTTAAAATCAAAACAACATTCTCTTTTCTATAAAGCAATAGACTGTTGCAAGCTCCAGGTATAATTCAGTAGTAAAAGAACAAAATGTGCCGAGTGCATGCCTAACAGTAACACTGAACATTCCAAGTTGCCAAAATTAGGATGTTGAGCTAAGAGTAAGCCTAAGACCAAGTCCACACAAAGTCCCAAGTTGCATTAGGCTTAGTCCAAAATGACCACTTAAGAGATGTTTTATTTTACAAATCAGTTATTCAGGTCAATCACTGAATCAGTGCAAATGATATCATTCGAACAATAAGATATTTCTGGAATCATGTCTTTCACCAGAAAAGATCGTCAATTTTGCACGCCTTTATGACGTCATTTACCAGATAGAAGGTGCACCTGTATCCCTGCCTTATTAAAAGTTTCAATCACTTTCAGAATCGTCATTCTGCAGGGTAGTCTAGAAATAATTTATGTTCCATAAGGTATCCGGTCGTTCCGTCCCCAAGTCGATCCGGTTCAAAGTCGATCCGTCCCAAGTCGATCCGGCCCACGTCGATATAATAATTAGTTGTATTTTTTTTCAGGTAACATCAGAGGCTTCTATAATACATGTTTTTTTTTTGTAATATCGAATATAGTCAATATATTTTTTTAAAGTTGACAATGATTTGAATAGTTGTGTGTAGATAAAAAAACAAGTTATAATATGATGTCACACTATCACACTATCATAATCTAAAAACGTGTCTGGAAAAATAATGAAAAACAGTTGAATATCTTGTCAATGGGGCGACAGAGGACAATCGACCTCGAAATTTTCAGGTACTAAGTGGCAAGTTTTGGAGTATAACACAAAATTTTGTCTTAATTTTGTACTTATCGGCCTAATAATTTAAAGAATTATATATCAGAAAATCATTTCTTAAGCGGTACCCTCGTCAAATCAGTAGAAATGCTTTAAATTGAATGAATTCTTACCTTGTTTACTTTTTTTTTCATTTCTCTCCGCTTCGTTAGTACCCAATTTCCGGTGGCGATGATACACAGTGTTGGTGCGTTGCCAACGGGCAAGACTCTGTTCATCTACCAGACGCACTTGCCTCGAAACAGTTTTGGCTTCCTTGATGAGCGCTGGAACCATCTTGTAGAAGTGGAGTTTGATGCCATTTGAGAAGTTTTAAGAACTAAAAACAAAAACGAAGTTTGTATGTATCAGCTTGGGGATCGGCTTGTACCGTTGTGTATGTAACTATTTGTTATTACACAGGATGAAAGACTTGTAAAGATCACAGACAATTGAAAGAAAATGCTAATTACTGCTGATTAATGTTGATGTCTGTTGATTGTACTAAACATTCTGTTATATACGTTTTTATTATAATTATATCCATTAATCTTGAAAACTTGTAATGAAAACATAATCAACATAGTTGTTTTAAACTCATCTGCAGAAAATATTTGTCAAAGGCCAATTTTTTTTTACCGTACACCTTTAACATTATAATAAAATTCATAAACATTTATGAATTACAATTAATATATATCTTTATTTTTATTCCTTATAAATATATTTTTGTATTGGGCCGGATCGACTTTAAATATGGGCCGGATCGACGTTGGGCCGGATCGACGTTGGGCCGGATCGACGTGAAAGCTTCCATAAGCACATAGTCTTAATTCCAGTACAACTGAAGGGAGGGTGACCAACTTATTAGATTTTAATTTCCCAAATATTTTGTGCAGTATAAGATCAAACTTTTTCACCCGATCGCTCAACATGTAATGGAAGTGAGGATGTCTACAATTTGTCATGTGGTGATTGAAGTCACATGACAGATTTAACTAACTCAGTTCTGCCAACTTTTAATAATGCAAATGCGTGAGATTTGGCTAAAAACGTAAAGATCAAAGAGAAAAAACAATAGATCAAAGGAAAATGCCGCCAAATAAGCATGAAAATGCGCGAGTCTCACGCTAAATGAGTAAGACTTGGCAGCCCTGCTAACTGACGTATTGGTTTTTACTTGGACGTAATAACATAAAACACTGTAACAAAGGATATGTACGGGAAAGTGTATGAATTTGAAATGTGTCTTTAATTTTGACATCTTTAAAAGCTATTTTATATTTTTTCTGTGATGACTCTTTATGTCTTAGAAATTAAAGGCATCACTTCATATAAAATAAAATGCTCCGCAGGGCGCAGCTTGATACGACCGCAGAGGTCGAACCCTGAACAGTTGGGGCAAGTATGGACACAACATTCAAGCTTGATACAGCTTTGCATTTGGATTGTGATTAAATATTTGACACAGCATAGGTTTCTGACACAGAATGAATGTGGTCTAAGAACTTAAAAATTTTAAATTGGACATTCACCTATTATGGTCCAAAATCCAAAATCTAAATACATGGTTAGATTCAGCATATCAAAGAACCCCAAGAATTCAATTTTTGATGAAATCAAACAAAGTTTAATTTTGGACCCCGATTTGGACCAACTTGAAAACTGGGCCCATAATCAAAAATCTTAAAACATGTTTAGATTCAGCATATTAAAGAACCCTAAGAATTCAATTTTTGTTAAAATCAAACTAAGTTTAATTTTGGACCCTTTGGACCTTAATGTAGACCAATTTGAAAACGGAACCAAAAATTAAGAATCTAAATACACGGTTAGATTCGGCATATCAAAGAACCCCAATAATTCAATTTTTGATGAAATCAAACAAAGTTTAATTTTGGACCCTTTGGACCTCAATGTGGACCAATTTAAAAACAGGGCCCAAAATCCAAAAACTATATACACGGTTAGATTCAGCATATTAAAGAACCCCAAGAATTCAAGAATAAAACCCCATTGAAATTGGTCAAGAAATAAGCAATTTATACGAAGTATCTTCTTTTGCACAATACTGTGCAATTAAATATTTCTTGCTATTGCGCAATACTGTACAATTGACAATTTCTTGCTATTGCGCAATATTGTGCTATTGGATATTTCTTGCTATTGTGCAATACTGTGCAATTGAAGATTTCTTGCTATTGCGCAATACTGTGCAATTGAAGATTTCTTGCTATTGTGCAATACTGTGCAATTGAAAATTTCTTGCTATTGCACAATACTTATTATATAATAATTACACATCCTGTTTGGTGTGTATCTCCTGCCATATCATTATTATTTGCTTTTGAATATAAATCAGAAATAACCAACTTAAAATGGAAAATTTTAAAAGAAAAAAAAAAGGAAAAAAAATGAAAAAAAAAATCCCCCCCCCCAAATTTTTTGAACCCCCTTATGATTCATCACCCCCAAACTCAATCCCAGCCTTCCCTCTGTGGTATGGTACCTTGCAGTACAATTTCAGAAAGATCCATACACTTACACACAAGTTATTGTCCTGAAACTGGAAAAATGCTTGTTTTTTGCCCCTTTTTGGCCCCTTGTTCCTAAAATATTGAGGCAATTACCCCCATCATTAATCCCAGCCTTCCCTTTGTGGTATGGTACCTTGCAGTACAATTTCAGAGAGATCCATACACTTGAACACAAGTTATTGTCTGGAAACTAGAAAAATGCTTATTTTTGGCCCCTTTTTGGCCCCCAATTCCTACACATTTCGGCAATTACCCCCAAACTCAATTCCAGCTTTCCCTTTGTGATATGGAACCTTGTCGTACAATTTCAGAAAGATCCATACACTTACACACAAGTTATTGTCATGAAACTGGAAATATGCTTGTTTTTTGCCCCTTTTTTGGCCCCTAATTCTAAAATTTTGAGGCAATTACCCCCAAAATCAATCCCAGCATTCCTTTTGTGATATGGAACCTTGTGGTACAATGTCAGAGAGATCCATACACTTACACACAAGTTATGTCTGGAAGTTACAAAAATGCTTATTTTTGGCCCCTTTTTGGCCCCTAATTCCTTAACAGTGGGTACCATAACCTCCAAAATCAATCCCCACCTTCCTTTTGTGGTATTGAACCTTATGGTAAAATTTCAATGAGATCCATTCACTTAAACTAAAGTTAGAGTGCGAAAACCAATGTGTCTTCGGACGACGCCGGACGACGCCAGACGACGACGCCAACGTCATACCAATATACGACCACAAAAATTTTTTTGCGGTCGTATAAAAATGATTTGATAAAAATAGCTTTTAAAGACGTCATAATCATTTCTACATACATAATACAACATATAGGCATGTAGGTTTAGCTCTACATTCTATTTGTAAAAGAAGAACAAACTTTGGTTTGCATTTCAAGCAAAAATCAAGAACAAAGTCCAGTGTTCTCCCCAGGATTTTTTTAAGGCGCGAAATTCAAGGGCGCGCAACTCTTTTTTTAGAGTGAACGTTTGTGATCTGAAGCAATAAGTCATAAATCATGACATGCAATATGAATTATAATGCTTTGTGTTATGTGTTTAATAATGCAGAGTATTAATGAATTACAAGAATATGTATATGAAATAAATTGATTTTAAACACAAAAGTTATTTATAGTCAGTCAATTAACATGATTAAAGAAGTCAAAATATAAATATTCATCTCTACTCTCTGCTCCTTCTAGGGATATTGTTTCAAGATAGTGTTATTTTGTTGGACAGTCTGTTCCTCAACTTTGTCTTTATCCTCTTCAGGGTTAAAAATTAAACCCCCACTCACAATAACTTTTGCTTATACCGCCTTTAACATTTCTAAGCCATGAAAACTCAGTCAGCCACTTGTCATTGAAACCAGAAACATAGTACTTGCTTTTATCAATTGCTAAAACTTGAGCTTGGTTGGGATTAGGAGAAGCAATGAAATCTGCTTATACTGACAGTGTAGACGGAGGTGTATTCCCCTTTTCATTAGAAGTCATTGGTCTGAAAAAAACTTCTACTTCCATCATCTACCTTTTGCTCATAATTCACCCCTTTGTTATTTGCAGAGAACATGTTCATTCAGAATTAATAAAATCGAATATGGTTAAGATATTTGGTATACAACTTTTTAAAACAAATTTTTTTTATAAATGAACAGCTGACCAGTTTCATTAGTTTCACATTATGCT